ACGTAAAATAATTCCAACATAACAAAAGCACCACTTGCTAGTTTTTTTCAGCCTTCCCACATACAGCTCTAAAAGATCTCTTCATAATGCTTTAAGTATACTTTTTCCCTTCACCTTTTACGGGGTTGAAGAACAGATATAAAAGATGAATTGCACAGCACAGTAAATAGTCCCCCACTACAACTTTCAATGTTGATCTCTTACAAACTTACAAGTGTCTTGCACAAACTCCTTAATCAACAATATATAAAGTTAAAATTGTGTATTGTCCTTTTACTGTACTAAAATTTAGAATTTCGTTATTCTACTCTAATTTCGCATAAGTTAATCTAGATTTTTTTAATAACGCCCTTAAACATTTGATCGATGTGAAAAGTTTTAATGAATTAGTTAGTTCTTTCACTAAAGTTTTTTTTTTTAAATTAATCATTCTTTTTATATGAAAAATTCCATTTTGGCGTTTCAACTGGAATTGCTGATGTTATTAACAATTTGGATTAATTAATCATATTATGGTAATGGGGGACTAAATTATGTCATATTAAAGTATATGAATCAATTTTTAAAATTTGGCATAATAGAGGGACCTAAATCAAGAATTGGACCTATATATATATCATACTAGTAATCAAGTACTTTTCATGAGCACCATGTGTGCAATTTAATAGTACAACATGGTTAGTGAGTGATTTGAAGGAACTAAAAACAAAATTTTATGATTGAGGACATATAATTTTAAGGCAGCTATATGATTAAAATAATTAGCATGAAAGGAAAAAAAGAAATAAAGTTAGGGACATAGAGACGGGTATCATTTGATTTTTGCCATAAAAAATGTCTAATTAATATATTTTTATATAACTCGTTAAATTTTATTAAAAATAAAAAAATATTTTGAATTATAATAAAAATTTATAATTATAATAGTAAATTAATAACATAATTAGATTTTTTTTTATAATATTTTTTGGTATAACTACCGATATACAATCTACTAATCGACTAATTCGGATTGGGTATTGCAGAGGCAATGGAAACCCTCCCAACTTAATTTGCTCCATTCATAATGGTCAAGATTCGAACTTCTGATCTTACTTAAGGGATTTAATACATCATCTCACTTAGACTAATTAATTTTTAATATGTTTTCCTATGATTATTGACATAAAAAATTAGTTACCTAAAATCATATAAAGAATATTTTAAAAATCTAACTAAAAACTCGAACAAATATAGATACAAATATATACATATGATTGTATTGGAAAACGAACAACAAAAGATGATGATCTACTTAAAAACCATCGACAAACCGCAAATCAAAGTAAAGCGTCGTGAAAAACTATCCACGAATGCAAATCATGTATCCAAATTTAATCGATGGTCAAAAATAAGAAAGAACAACATTATAACAAATGCGTTAAAAAGATAGAACAAAATGTGTCATAAAACAAATAAAAACAAGTCATATAAAAATTATTAAAAATAAAAATAAAATATAAGACATGATATAAAAATAAAATAAAAAACGACTATCGATAACTAACATTAAAATTAATGCAATAAAAATATATGTAGACTGTGTGTATTATTAGTATATTAAAAAAATTATGAACATATAATATCTTATAATTTTATCATGTTATTCAAGAAAATTATTTTAGTTTAAGTTTTAGTTTAGTGTTAAAGATGTTTATGATGTGTGTTTTAGTATATTTTTTAATTTTTTATTTAAACTAGGTTTATATTGTTTTTCTGAAATAAAAATCATTTTATATTAAGATCTATTCATAACATAAGTGCTAGTAGAATAATTTGACATACATTTTATGTTTAGTCAGATCCGGTAATTCAAACGTGTGACAATTTTTCAGAGTTACAATGCGATTACTATTATAATAAAACTATTTAAATACAAATAACCAAATATTTTGTTGTTATTATTATTTATTGTATATAGGTATCCATCATTATACTGCATCAGGCTATCTATTCTATTGAATAATTAAATAGTAGATTTTTGACATTTTACGGCTCAGCTAAACCAAGTCCAACCTCTCAACATACATGTATGTCATATTCTTAATATAATATAAAATATTTGACAAATGTAAAATTAATAAAGCATGTGATTTGTACGGTTGCTATTTTATTTAAAACATATAGATCTGTCATTGTATGTGATCTGTCCATTTCCATTAATTAAATATATAGGCATAGTAGGTGAATGCGCGTGTGGATGAGAATTGGACCCGAATTCGATAGGTTTCGATTTAACCGGATAGGGTCAAGTTTTTTTTAAAAAAATTTGGGTTCGAGTCGGGTCGGGTTAGATTCGGTTTTAGGGTAAAAATACCCGACCCGATCAGACCCAAAAAATTATAATTTTTCGTTATATATTTAAGAATAATTACAATAATACCCTCTATGTATTATTTTTTAATTAAATCAATGTTTTTATTAAATAAAAATAATATTTTTATTATTTCGAATCGATTCATGTTCAAATTTTATTTTAAAAAATCGGATTGGATTCGAGTCAAGGGGAGAATACATATTTTTCGGGTCGGGTTGACCAAAACATGACTCATGCCCATCTCTAAATGTGCATGATTGGTTTCAATGGAGGAGGGTGAGTGATTTTTTATTTTATTTTTGAAACAAATACGTCTAGATAAGAGGTACTTTGATATTATTATAAAAATATATATTTATATTCAAATATGGTGTGTTATAAGTTTGGACAAAATTTTTGCCTATCAAATGTACCCTTTAATTGATTATAGGTTAGGGTGATTTTATTAGGTTCAATGTGAGTGAGGGAAAAAAGTTTATATAATTTTTTTTAATTAATCGATAAATAAATATAGATTAAATAATAAAATATTGTATATAAATAAAATAACCTGTATTTAATCTTCAAGTAACGATAATATTTATTATTTTTAAAAATAAAAATTTTATAATTAATTGATAATAGATTAATTTTCTACACTTATTATTTTAATAATATGGAGTGATTATAAAAAATAATATATATTTTATTTATCGATAACTTACATACACTATAAATCTTTAAAGAGAATAATATCATGACACTTACTTAATAAACGATTGTATCAAAAATGAAAAGAGAAGAAATTTAATACACTTATTAGGGTAGCCAAAGTTGCCATCAATTTAATTTGTTCACATTTAACGCGTATAAAATAATAAATAATAATAATTTTCACATTTAATTCTTTACCAAATTAACTTATTCTAATTAATATTTCTTAAAATAACATATAGAACTAAATTTTAGAAAATCATGTTTTAAAAAAAGTTTGAAATTTAAATTTCAGTTGTATTTTATTAAGAAAGACAAAATCACAATCATATTCATATTCATATATAATTTAAAATAATTTTAAAAAAATCTACGTAATAAGTGAAATAAATCTAAGAAAAAGTATATATAATTTACAGTTGGAGTAGTAAGTGACTTAGGGGATGTTTGTTTGTCTCTTAATCGAACCATTCAGCGCTGAATACTGAACCGTTAAGCATTTAGCGCGTTTGTTTAACACCTCTGAATGATTCAGTACTAACTGATTCAATACAAAAGTGTTGAATGATTCAACACCGAAGTACATTCTGAATGATTCATAGCTATTATCAAACAGCATGTCACATACAGAGCCTCTGAATCATTCAACGCTTAAACATTCTGAAGTAAACAAACAGCTCCTTATAGAATTTTTTATCTCGAAATAATTTAAAGTAATTAAAAGGTATTGTTTATTTAAAAAAAACCCAAGTATTTTTTAAAAGAGATCGAAGTATAAAGCAGTAGATGAAGGGGAATATTTTCGCTGCTAATAGGTTTAATGAAAATAATTAAAAAAATCACTATAGCTTACCAACATCCATTATTGAAATCGCAATTTGTAACCCCAAAAAAAGTCCAAAGTGGAGGAGTGGAGGGTTTTATTTAAAGAAACGTATTCAATTTTAATTTGTCGGCTTTGACTGATGAGTCTACTTTTATCTGCGTATTACAGACATAAATATATTTGCTCAGGTCAGATTGATATGCCATGAACCTACCAAGACGTGGGCCGTTTATGTTTTTAATCAGAAATAATAATATCATTGATGATGATGACTAATAACAGCAACCTATATCAACGATTTAGATTATTTGAAGTTTAAATTTTTTACTATTTTATAATATATATATATATATATATATCATTTATTCAAAATTAACGATTTAGATTATTTTGAAAAATTGAATATAAATTCAGATTTGTCACATTCCGAGTAAGAAGTTACCAGGTATCTTTCCACGCTTGATTTCTATCCCATGATTGAGCTCAGATTCCAAGGAACACTACAAACAAAAGTTGTGGAAATTTTAAAGACTGATTGATTATACATTCTTTAAAGTTTCCCACAAAATATTTTGTCTTTTATAAATACATTTCGTGGGACAATCATGTTTCAAAGGACTAACTTATAATTTATATAATTTTTTAAAATGTAATATTGTATAAATTAACTTATTTTACTAATTAAAAGAATTATTATTGGTGTTAAAGATTAAGGGTTCGAATATTAACGACTGTATCAAGATAATAAAATATTTATTATCAAATAATTAAAAATATTTTAAACAAATATTAATTTATAATCACTTTATCTTAATAAAAAAAATATAATATTTTTTATTCTAGAAAGTCACACTCCTTTGTAAATTCTCGGTCACAGTAAATTTTTATTTTTTTATTAACGGGTTGATGTAATTTTGTGATTTGAAGGAACGAGTTCACCCACAGTGATTGAGCCACGTGGAGGCGCATGTGTGATTCAGTATATCCTGACAAGTTATTGACTGGCATGTGAAGTGAATGAATGTCAGTAGGTCACATCTCCCTCTGATTTTATAACAACGTCTCTGGAGATTTTATAACAACGGCTCTGCTGGTTATTCTTCCTCTGTCTGAAAACACTCACAGAAAAAACATTGCCATATATTCCAATAACAATTGTTCCCTTCTTCACCTCTTGCTTCCTGCTCGTGGCGGCGGTGTTGTTTTTGAAAACCATAGTTTAATCTCCCAATCTGCCATGGCGGCGACGACCAAAGGATTCGTTCTATATCTGCTGTCTGGTTTTTCAATAGCCATTCTCTCTGTTTTGTTCATCAACAAGAACAACTACGACATCATGAACCGTAGCTCAAATCTCTTACGGTCCCCAGTTTCATCCCACACGGACCGAGTTTGGCCTGTAAGTTTTTCTCCTTTGTGGCAGAATCCTGATTTCATATTCTCGGGCGGCTTTTAAATGGTTGTTTGATTTTGGTAGGAATTGGAGTTGAACTGGAGGCTTGTAATGGCGACGGTGATAGGATTTCTAGGTTCGGCTTGTGGAACGGTTGGCGGCGTTGGAGGCGGCGGTATTTTCGTTCCCATGCTTACTTTGATTGTTGGATTTGATACCAAATCTGCCGCCGCTATTTCAAAATGTAATTTTTTTTTCACTTTTCTTTTTGGCTTTATCTCCAATGGAACAGTGACTTTTAAAATGAATGGGTGCAGGCATGATCATGGGAGCATCGGCGTCGTCGGTTTGGTACAATCTTAGAGTCCCGCATCCGGCGAAAGAAGTGCCGATCATCGACTACGATCTGGCTCTTCTTTTTCAACCTACGTTGATGCTTGGCATCACCGTTGGTGTTGCCTTGAGCGTCGTTTTTCCTTATTGGCTCATCACTGTACTCATCATCATACTCTTCATAGGTTTCTTCAACAATCCCAACTATGACTTTCTGCTATTTTATTTCTTTGATGTTTGTGCTGCTTCCTCCCTATTACGCCATTGAAACGTTCTGTTTCTTTTTTTTTTAGGTACCTCTTCAAGATCATTCTATAGGGCAATTGAAATGTGGAAGGAAGAGACACTTTTAAAGGTTTTTTCTCTTCCAATTATTTGATAATATAAAGTCTTTTTTTCCTTGCTTTAATTTTTAAAAAAATTGCAGAATGAACTCACCAAGGCACAAGGAACAGTAAACTCCGGGGGTGAATGTAAGATTCATTATAGATGATTTTCTTATCATATTCATCCTTAGAACATTTGAAAAGATATTAACTTCATTCTTTTTCATCTTAAATTCTTTGAATTCCAGTACTGATAGATACAGAGTATGAGCCATTGATTCCGAAAGAAGAGAAATCCGAACTGGTTAGTGAATCAAGCCTTTTTCCTCCCACCTACCATTTTTCTTTACTCACACAAGTCTCAAAACCAAGTTGATAATGTGTTCCGAATATTGCAGCAAATATTATGTTTCAATCTAAGGTGGAAAAGGCTTTTGATACTAGTTACAGTTTGGGTGCTTTTCACTGTTATCCAAATCATCAAGGCAAGCTTACAATCCATCTCAGTTCGTCTCAAATTTGGGTGATTACATAATGTTCTTTATTCATGTTGGTATTTATTTATTTTTGGCAGAATGATGCGGTTCCTTGTAGCACTTTGTATTGGGCACTATTTTGCTTACAGGTAAACCTTAATTTGATGAGAACATTGCAAAAACCATGCTTTCTTTGATTGAATGAATGAACCGAATCTATGTTTATATTTCAGTTCCCAGTTTCAGTGTTGGTTTTTGGATATGAAGCAATCAAATTATACAGAGATTATAAGAAGAGAATGAGCACCGGGGATACTGAAACAATTTGTGAAGCTTCCATTCAATGGAGTCCACTGAACATTGCATTTTGTGCACTCTGTGGCATCTTGGGAGGCACCGTCGGTGGATTGCTCGGTTCCGGCGGTGGTTTCATTTTGGGTCCTCTCCTCCTTGAAATTGGTGTGATTCCGCAGGTAAATTTAAAGCCCAGATTTTTTTAAGTGACATATATTCAGACATGGATATAAATATGAAACTAAAACCAGCTCTGGTTTTCAATTAACAGGTGGCTAGTGCAACAGCAACATTTGTAATGTTGTTTTCTTCGTCCTTATCAGTCGTTGAATTCTATTTGCTTAAGAGGTTCCCAATCCCCTACGGTAAGCCATAGCCATATCCTTGCAGCAAGTTCTGATTTTTGTCCATTGATCAAAATTGTCACGTTTTTGTTTGCAGCGTTGTACTTGATGGGAGTATCTATCTTGGCTGGTTTCTGGGGACAGTATTTCGTGAGAAAACTAATAGCAATCCTCAGAAGAGCATCGCTCATTGTGTTCATTCTATCGGGTGTCATCTTCGCAAGTGCTCTCACAATGGGTACGTAACGTAAACTTATCACATAAACTCAATTAATCCAAAGCAATGACGTATTTTATTTTTTGAATGTATTTAAACAGGAGTCATAGGCATAGAGAAGAGCATTGGAATGATTCAGAAGCATGAATTCATGGGATTTTTAGATTTTTGCAGCAGTCAATGATCATTGACTAAATCTATACGGAGATGTCGTCGGTCATCACCTTGTTGACCAACCTCACTACATTCAACGTCTCCTGTTGGAATAAATAGTTTACCTCAAATGTGTTGCCGTCGAATGTGACTGTTAGCTCCTGGCCAACTCTCCATTCTTTCAAATGTGTTGCCTTCGAATGTGACTGTTAGCTCCTGGCTAACTCTCCATTCTTTATGTGATTTATGCATCATAACTTTCAGCAGCAGAATTTTCGAATTCCCTTTTAATGATCATTCTCGGTTTCGTTTACAAAGGATGTTAAACATTACAACAGACACACAAAGGCAAACAAATGGATCTAACAAAGAAACAGAAAGGATAATACATTAGCGGCATTGGCAATGAAAATTATCAGTAACCCAGCTACAGTCCATCTTCGGTGGTAGCAACCGAAGGTGAAATCGAATCTTGATATTCATCGTAATCCTCCCCTAAAGGAGACTGTTCCACCCTTATATCCTCAATGTTTTTGTACCTCAAAAGTTCTTGATCGAAGACTTCAGCCGTCCACTCTTCCTTAACAAGGGATCGGACCCATTTCGGAAGATCAACCGTTTGTTCTTCTACGTAGATTCGGGGACGGGTAGGGGAAGGGTACTGCGACAGAGCTCTCCCGGTGAGTACTTCCAACAACAACACTCCGAAACTATAAACATCGGCCTTCTGAGACAGTTTTTTAACTTCGGATTGCTCAGGAGCCTTGTATCCACCCAATCCTGCTATAGCATTAACGGGGCTTAGAAGCAAAGATAACCCGAAATCAGCAATCAAAGAAACCCCATTTTTGCCGAGAAGCACATTCGAAGATTTCACATTTCCATGTGGTATTTTTGCTTCGCTATAAACTTGATGAATCTTTGATAACCCTCGAGCCGCCCCTAACACCAAGCTGATCCTTGTAGTCCAATCCAACGGAATCCTGCCCGGTCCCCTGTTTCCTGTTTATCAAATTAAAGTCGGATAATTTAGGAGTATTAACAGTTCGATCACACTAAACAGGAACACTATACGTACCGTGAAGAAGTGAATGCAAGCTTCCATTAGGGAGGTAATCATAAACAAGAAGCTTCTCTTCTTTAGCATAATAGTAAGCCTTCAACTTCACAACGTTGGGATGCTTAACTTTCCCGATAATAGCCATGTATTGTTCGAATTCCTTCCTCGGACATGGATTCGCGTCTTTAAGCCTCTTAACGGCGACGACCGACCCATCGTCGAGCACCGCTCTGTAAACAGTTCCCAAACTCCCTTTTCCCATCATTTCTGCCGAAGCTTTCAACAAATCCTCCAATTCGAACTGTTTCCTTCTCTCGAAAAACACCAGCTTACTGTTATCCGTTGCGTTGGTTCCGTCACTGTCAGCGACGGCGACGCCATTTGCATGAACTTTTTTCCGCTTCCGTAGCTACTTCCACTGCCGCCGGAGGCCGAAACACTGTTGTCTCCCCTGTTTCTGCCGCAATAATAAGCCACGACAAAAGAAGCCACCACTAAAAACACCACGCTGGTTGCTAATACGATTGAAACTATTGCACCAGGGGTTAAGCCTTTACGTGCCCTGTCTTTGCTTTCGGGCCCGATGATCGGGGACTGAGGGATTGACCTTGGGTTCGACGGAACGGTCCGGGTCGGTGAATCCACCGGCTGAGACCCTGTGAAGGAACAAACCTGGAATGGAGTTGGCCCACAAAGCCCTTCATTTCCTTTAAAGCTTTCTTTGCTGAATTTCGTCAATAAATTTCTCGGTAACCGTCCGTAAAGCTCATTGTTGGTTAAATTAAGCTCGGTTAAGTTTCTAAGAGAATAAGAAAAGTCTGGGATTTGGCCAGTCAATGCATTGTTTTGAAGCCGGAGAGTAATGAGCCGCTTCAAACCCGAAATTTGTTTAGGAATATGGCCTTGTACGTTGTTATCGGACAAGTCGAGGCGAAGAAGGCGTCTGAGGTGCGAGATACCAGGCGGGATATCGCCGGAGAAATCGTTGCCCGTAAGATAAACTAGTTCGAGGTTAGTACAATTGGTTAACGGTGAAACGCTGCCATTCAGTCGATTTTCATGGAGGCAGGGCCGTGGCAGTGTTTTCGGGGCTATAAATTCGTATAAAAGAGTCTCTATTTTTTAGATATATTTGATTTCGAAATAATAATAGTGACGTTTTCTTGATAAACACCGCAATAAATCCATCTCGTTTTATCAATAAAGCCGCAATGATGTTTTTTTTGAAAAAACATCGTAATAGGTCCATCTATATTGGTGTTTATTGGTAAAATGCTATTATATATATTTTTTTAGGGCCTATTTTTTAGGCCCCTGCACGGTCGCGTAGTTTGCGGCCTCCAGCCATGGCCCTATATGGAGGTCGAGGATTCGGAGCTGATCGAGGAGGGAAATGGCTGCTATGGGGCCGCGGAGGTAGAGGGAAGGGAGGGAGAGTTCGATGACACGGCCGGTTGAGGAGCAGTTAACGCCGCGCCAGGCCAAGGAACAGGCGTCGTGGCCGGTCCAGTTGGGGCGGAGGATGCCGTGAGTGTCGGCTTGGAGGCGGAAGAGAGTGAGGGCATCGGTGTCGTTTGGGTAAGAAGGAAGGGAGAAGGAAAGTGGAAGGAAAATAAAGTACAAGAGAAATTGGCAAGGGAAATTCATTGTTTGTTTTGAGAGCAAAGGAATGAAACTGGAAGTGCGTTTTGTTAAAGGTACACAATTTCTACTATGCTCAAAACTTAATTAAAAATAACATATTGTTTTCATTAATGGTAAAAAAAGATGAATTGGATTCATGATAGACTCATTTATTTTAAAGATTTTATTTTTCAATCCATGTTTATGGATTATTTAAAAGATGTTAATAGGTCTCATTGAGAATAAGATAATAGGTCACTATTTTGAAAAGAGGGGAGATATGATTAAAGTGGTAAATAGAATGATGTTCTCCACTCCCTTACCATATCACTCATTCATTTTCTTAAAAAAAATCTCTTCATATATTTAAAGTTTCATACAATAATTTTAGTTTTTATGAGCAATTTTTAACATTTTGACTAATATAAAATTATGTTACATGATTTCAAGAGATATATATATATATATATATATATATATATATATATATATGGGGGCATGCATCACATTACCTAGGCTTTTATCTAAAAACCATGAAAAAAATTATTTTAACACTTTTTGTCTAATATATATCAAACTAACACCTTTTTAAAATTGAGGTAAGAGTTCTAGGTATGTCCTAAGAGAACGTTTTATTGACGTGACAAGACAGCTAGGAATCACATCCTAAGGGCCCCCCCAAATTTTCATAAAACATATTTAATAAAATATACTTTAAAAATATTTTAAAAAAACTACAGAAACTAACAATATAATTTAATATATATTAATTTCATGAGTTAAAAGAGTAAAGGTGTTAGTTTATATAGGCATGGTGGAGTGTTTAGCCTATATTTGTTAATATTGTAGAATAAAAGTTAAAATGAGTTATTTCACCTTTTTATCATGTAATATTTATCTTCTTTATTTTTACTTAATACATTAAGTTAGGTTTTTTTTATTTCACTATTAAAATATAAATTAGAGTTTATATCAATTAAAATTAAATATTTTTAGATGTTAAAATATTTTTATTTTTATTTTTTTTCTATGATCAATCGATGTAAACATCCACAACTTCGAATTATATCAGTTTCTCTTCCAACAAACTAAATTCTATAGAAAAATAAATAGAAAAAAAAATCTAAAATACATAGGTTAACCTACATATCAAACTCTTAAGCTTAAAGAATTAGATCAATTCCTTAACTACTAAGGTATGTTGGTTAATGAAATTTTAGTAAATATTATAAATAAAAATTTATTTTTTTATTTAATATGAACAAGTAAAAATATAAAATCTAATGCATCTCATTTTGTTTATTGGGGTAAATTTCCATTGTTTTTTGTAGTTAAGGAATAATGAGAACAAAAATAAAGAATGAGGTCGGAATGATATTACATACAAATGGAAACACACATGGATAAATATACAAATGGATAACACACATGAATAAACATACAAATCATAAGGGCGAAAACAGATTATCAATAACTCTTCCATATGTTGATAGTTTGGTCAAGTGGTCTACGGATTGTTGGGAATAAAGTGATATAATTTGGAGTTTTGATGTTTACATCGATCGATCATAGAAGAAAAATATAAATATAAATATTTTAACATCTAAAAAATATTTAATTTTAATTAATATATACTCTAATTTACATTTTTAATAGTAAAAATAAAAATCTCTAACTTAATGTAACGTATTAAGTAAAAATAAAGAAGATAAAGATTACAGTTTTATTTTCTTTAAAATATTTTTAAAGTGTATATTATTAAATATGTTTTATGAAAATTTGGGAAAAAGTTAACTTTAAACCGCTTTCTTACTTTGATTTTAAAAAATGAGTTAGTTTAGTATACATCGAAGAAAGGATGTAAAAATGGTGATTTTTTAAATTTTTTTTATTAAAAAACCATTATCTATGGTTAATTATTTCTAGTTTATGGAGTTTGAAAATTAACAAATATATAAGGGGTGATTTCCGAGGAATGAACTTTGCCTCATCACATGTTTTATAAACAAGATCACGAAAAGTTTGGCTAATATAATTTGTGAGGGTAAGAGGGGTTAATTAGAATTGTGTAGGTGGTCCCTTGGCTTTAAAGAGCAAGCAACTTTAAGTCATAAGAAGGCAAAGCTGGCTTGAGCTTCTCCCCATTATTTACATCCAAATGGGCTACTGAAATTGGTTGCACCCAAGTCTGTCTTCTTTCCTTGGCTTAATCCTTTCTAAAGCTACTCCAGACACAAAGCATAGAAATTTGTGCACCAAGAATTGTAAATTCGTTTCTGCAAATGTTGTTTATGTAACCAAACCCAAGTGTTTAATGGTAAAACCATAATGATCTGGATTCGTACAGTTTCCTGCTCAGTTTTGTATTGGGATTTGGTCGCTTATCTCTAATGTTAATATATTTTACTATTTAACCATTCATGGGTTTTCACATTACATATTTAACTAAAGTTCAGGACTATTTTAAATATTTATATATGTCTTCTTCAACCCTAACAAACCTTTGGGTTTGCTGTTTTACTGTAGTTATATAGTACGATGATCTTAATATGCGACTAAGAAAATATACTATCCGAAATATTA